TGTCTGTCTGTCTGTCTGTCTGTCTGTCTGTGTCTGTGTCTCTGTGTCTTGTGTCTCTGTGCATATAAATGTCATGGAACCCTGTGTGTGTGTGTGTGTGTGTGTGTGTATGTGTGTCTGTGTGTGTCTGTGTGTGTCTGTGTCTGTGTCTGTGTCTGTCTGTCTGTGTCTGTGTCTCCATGTCTCTGTGCATATATATGTCATGGAACCCAGGGCCTGGAATATGCTAGCCAGGCTTCTACCTCAGGTACAGCTCTAGACCTGGCTGTTCATTTTAATTCCTCAGTTTAGTCATATTGTGTACACTGAGTTTAACACAACTGAATGATGAGCCTGATGGAGAAGAATCCTTTTTGATGTTGAGATTCTAATGACAACACTTAGGTCTATTCTGGCTATACATATGCCAATTTAACTGTCCTGTAATCATATATTTAAGTATAGATTTATTTGGTTTGAGTCTTTTTTTATATTTTTCGAGGCAGGGTCTCAGTGTATAGCCCTCATTGTCCTGGAACTTACATGCCTCTGCCTTCCATGTGCTGGGATTAAAAGTGCAAGTCACCATGGATGACATTATGTAAATATTTAAATTGTGAACCAGCACACGCCTTTAATCCCAGCACTTTGGAGGCAGAGGCGGGCAGATATCTGAGTTTAAGGCCAGCCTGGGTCTGCAGAGCAAGTTCCAGGACAGGCTCCAAAGCTATTGAGAAACTCTGTCTCAAAATAAATAAATAAATAAATAAATAAATAAATAAATAAATAAGTACTAAAGAAATTCTGGCTAAGTTTCCTACCTTATCCTTCATCCATCAACAGATGAGATCTCCTGAGCAAATTGGGAGCATGGGGTGAGGGGAGAGGGAGCTAGGTTGAAATGTCCAGAGACCTACAAGGATGATACCATCCAACAATCTAAGCCACAGAGGAGAGGCTACCTTAAATGCCCTTCTCCGATAATGAGATTGATGACTGACTTATATGCCATCCTAAAGCCTTCATCCAGCAGCTGGTGGAAGCAAAAGCAGACACCCACAGCTAATCACTGAACTGAACTGGAATCCAGTTGCAGAGAAGGAGGAGTGATGAGCAAAGGGGTCAAGACCAGGCTGGAGAAACCCATAGAAACAGCTGACCTAAACAAGGCGGAGCTCATTGACCCCAAACTGATAGCTGGGAAACCATCATAGGACTGATCCAGACCCCCTGAATGTGGGTGTCAGTGAGGAGACTTCGGAATTAGTGGGGCCTCTGGTAGTAGATCAGCATTTATTTATCCCTAGCATACGAAGCTATTTGGGAGCTCATTCCACATAGAGGGATACTCCCCCAGCCTAGACTCATGGGGGTTGGCCTAGGCCCTATCCCAAAGGATATGACAGACTCTGAAGATCCCCCACGGGAAGGCCTCACCCTCCCTGGGGAGCAGAAAGGGGTTGTGATAGGGAGTTACTGGAGGTGGCAGGGGAGGGAGAGGGAACTGGGATTAACATGTAAAACAATCTTGTTTCTAATTTAAATCAAAATGGAAAGCAAAAACAAAAAACAGATGCATTAAAAAATCATAGTGAATTGTCAACAGCACAGTCTAAAGGAGGTGTGTCCAACGTGCAGCTTCTGGGCTACATGCCTCCCAAGGTAGCTATGAATGGGGCCCAACACATTTGTAAGTGACAGCAACATACTGTGATGTCAAAGTTTAAGCTAAGCACCCCTGTTCTAGAAAAACTGCATGAGTTAGTAGAAAGACACTATATTGGCAATCAAAAGACCTGTCCCAGGCATGGCTCTATGTGACTACTGGCCAAATACATCACCTCTCAGGCCTCGATTGACTGCTGGTGGGTTATGAGAAGTTTATCTTGCAGGCCTTATCTTTTCTAGCTCTAATATTTTAAAGCCTTCCTTGCCTAGCAGTGGTGATGTGTCTGTCTCCATTGGAGCTGATTTTAGTCTGGAAGCTTCTTAGACCCTGCTGGTGTCACAGATTAATCTATTCTCTCTTCCACAGATCATCTTTAACAGACTTTTCTGGTTCTGCCCCCAGGTTATGACTGCCCAGCCACAGAAGGGATATTTGACTATGCAGCAGCTATAGCAGGAGCTACAATCACCGCTGCCCAGTGTCTGATTGACGGGAAGTGTAAAATAGCCATTAACTGGTCTGGAGGGTGGCATCACGCAAAGAAGTAAGGAAATGGCCTTTCTGCTTTCTAACTTTTTCCTTGGTCAATCTCTCAGTTAGATAAATGTGTACACTCGTTACACTCCAGCGAAGCATGCGTCTGTCTAGCATTTTATACAGTGTTCTGAAAACATTCAAGTAAGATAGATGACCTTGTATAGTGGAAAGCGCTCAGTTGAAATTTAAGGCATCCATTTAGAGAAATCACCTGCTCACAGAGTTCCGTGGAGAAGGGGGATATTTTAATGTGTGTCATTCAGACAACATGTGGACTGCATGCATTAAGTCATGTTATTGCAGGGCCTGCCACGTGACACAGCTGAGCCACATTTAATCATCAGCAACACAACTTGCTTAATGCAACATAAATGTAAACAGGAGTGGGAATTTTTTCCCCTCAAAAAGGCAACAGCTGCTGTAGATAACAAATGCCCACACTACCCCACACTGAGAGGGGTTTGGGTTTGACATGATCCGAATTATATGTAGGTAGAGGAATACATCTATATTTAGGGGCATCTCTAAATATGAACGATAGTGCATAGAACACATTCTCTAAGTGGCACAAACCTTGTGATTTGTTTTTTGTTTTTAAATAGCTAGTCTTGTAATTTTTCCCTAGTAAATAAAAAAGCATCTTTTTAAAAAACGAAAGTTAAGGCATCTGGGCTGTATGTCTTGTTTTCCTGCAAGCCTGGCCAGACCTCCCTCTGCCCCAGTTTCTTCATCAGTGAAGGGACACGGAAATGGATGAATGTAGCCAACCTACACATACCTTGGGAATTCCCTATCTCCGGGACTTGGCACTAGAAACAGGAACACAGTTGGAGTAGTTAGAAGATAACTTAAATTATGATACTAAGGGAATATGTGTAGTATATAATATGAGTAGGTTGGCAGTAGGGAGACATCAATCATGGAAGTCTTGGGAGAGGTGCATTTCAGAGCTAATACTTGACAGAAATAAGAAATGGGTTTTTGAATAAGTAGATAATTGATGAGACTAGACATAGAACAAATGGCTTTGAAATAATCAAGGAGTCTTATACTACCCTGTCCAAGGAAAATGACTCTTCTTAGGTGCTGCTTGCTTAGAGAAAAATAAAAGGCCTTTTAGAGTTTTGTGTTTGTGTAACTTCCTACTCTGTCTGACAAGAACTACAAGGCCTTCTTCCACATCTGCCATCTCATTTGCTGTGTTAGTAGTACTTAATACTTGCTAGGGAAGGGGGATTTCACAACTGTACTTACCAGTGTGCCGTCTGGGTGAAAGAAAGCAGATGTCTTAGTAACTGCCAGTGTTTCATTCACAAATCAGCAGATGCAGCCAACGAAGACCTTGATCTTCAATAAAAAGAAACCAATATTTGATTCTTTCAAACTGCAAGGTACCACAATTTTAGCATATGCAAATTTACATAATAGTATGGTGTCCTTTTCCAAATGGACAAATTTCCTGGCCAAAGAAATTCTTGTAAAACTAAAGAACTACAATCTGCTACCTAGACAATAGAAAACTGATATTTTAGTGATGATTTCATAATGGTCTTAAACAAAGAGAACAGCCTGCTTTAGTTAGTTTTTTTTTTAGTTCAAAATTGAAACAAGATCTTTTCTTATTAAAGCCAAAAGAATTGCAAAAGAAGAACAAGATTCTCTGCACCCAGGACATCTCTGTGCTTTAGGCTTAGGGGATAAGCCCCGTGGTTTCATCGAGAATGCTTGCTCTGGCAAGTGGGCTGGCATTTTCCATGTTTCCGTTTGCTACAGAATGCCTGCCTGCTAGGGCTTGGGTCAGTTCACACCTTGCCACCTCTTACCACTGTATTTCTGACAAAGGCTGTACATTACGGTGGAATCAGTCCTGGCCGTCCGGCTGCATACAGGTGTAAAGATACTCACATGTCATTACCTGTTTAAGGCAGCTTTCAGCTGATCCCGTCTGCTCTGGGTATTGACACTCCTAGAACTCCTCTGAAGTGGGGCTACAGGCTTATAAGCTTTCACGAAGCTAGGCACTACCTATTATTGTTACTGGAAGTTTTGGGGAGCCTAACCTAGAGTATCACATTTACTGGGCAAATTGGAGCCTCCTCTTGGGATTTTAGTCCCATTAATTAAAGAATTTAAGAATAGACTCAGGCTAGGCATAGTGGCACATGCTTTTAATCCCAGCGCTCAGGAGATAGAGGTGGGGCAGACC